TAGTGATGAGATAATAGTGGGGATACTTTGCATGTTCAACACCAAAGAGCCAGGCGGGACCCCTGAGCACTGCCAGATATGCCCTCCCCTCTCCTCCATTCCTCACTCCACCCCCCAAAAAAAGAAATAATAAAGTAAAACATTGGGAGTATCATGAAAACTTAGATTTTTTTTCAAAAAGAGTCAGTATTGTTTTTAGAGAATTCTTTATTTGTTCTTCATTTTTCCTTCTACTTCAGAGCTCTTTGGTAGTTGAAATTCAAAGTTCACACTTTGTAAAAGTGCTTTTGTAAAGTGAACAGAAGTACAAAGATACAAAAGTAAGAGAGAAATAACATGGATCCTACGTAAACTGAGTATGAATGTTGCTTATATTGAAGGTCCTCTTAAAAACAGTAATAAGCAAATATTTCTAGGTCTTAAATATCAAAAAGCGTTGCTGAAATGTCTGGTTATAGATGTAAGAATCTGAAACAGTCCAAGAGAATATAAATCACTTTATTTTCTTTAACATTAAATATAGATTCAATGGAAATAAATCATATTTATTACTCCTTTTAAAAGAAAACTTGAAGTTTGTTCCAGTTAGAGAAGTAAGACGATGACTTACTTCTGGGGCAGTTGTGTGAGCTCTTTCAGAGAAATATGGGTACTTAATGTGTCTCATTGTGCTGAAATGTGTAGATTGTGTGAATGAAAAATACTCTGTCAGTGAATCCTCACTTTAGAACTACCTAAGTACCTCTTTAGACAGGCACATGAAATAGCAAACAACTTAAAAACAAAGTTAGAAAAATATGTGCCTCTAGAAAAACTAATTCTTATCTGTATATTATTTCACAAGTATCCAGAAAGAAAAACAGAGAGAAGGATTCTAAGAATTTGATATTCCAATGTGTTCAATTCATATGGAAATGGGATATGTGAAATGAACATTCACATGTAAATATTAATGCTTCCTGTGTAATTTTTCTCTTTTGTAGTTGAAGTCATTAGATAGTATCTCAATTTATTGTCACTCATCTTGCTCATTTTAATTACTTTGTGATTCTTAGCTTTTGTGATGATTTACATCTCAGCCATGCTTGAGTAAAGGAAATTGCATCATGCAAAAATACGTATGCTTATTGCATACTTACTGCACTAGGAAAATAATGCAACTTTTAATAGAACCATCTTCCAATTCCACAGTACAAAGAAAATCAGGATGTACAGAATTTTTTTTTATTATTTGAGGAGTGAATTTAATAATCGAATAGACAAGAGATCTGGTATGTGTATTTCAATTTCAAACAGTCTTGATTTTTTTCCCTCACTACAACCAGAAGCTGTGGCCCCCACTCATTGTTAGAATTGGAAAACTGATTTTATTAATACTAAAATCCAAGATCTGAAATGATATAAATATTACTTTAGAAAGGATAATTCAGATAGAAAGGGGAACACCAAGTGGAGGGTGTTTGGAGGATCCTCCCAGGAGGGGAGATGCAGGTTGAAAGTAGACTGGACTGAACATGTTCGCCACTCAATGCCTCTTTGGCTGATCACAGCGCCCAGGAGGAGAGAGAGAACAGGGGGGAATGCCCTGCCACAGTGGCAGGGGGGGATGGGGGGATGGGAGGATGGGGGGGGAGGGATATTATCCTGGTGGTGGAAAATGGGCACTGGTGGAGGGATGGGTATTTGATCGTGGTATGACCGAAATCCAAGCACAAAAATTTTTAAATCTACAACTGTACCTCATGGTGTTTCACTAATAAAAAAAAAAAAAGAAAGGATAGACTTTAGGGTAACCAGTGTATATGTTTTCCATCCTATAGTGCATTTCTTTTTTGTATGTTTGTTTTGGGTTTTTTTTGTTTGGGGGCCAAACCCAGCTATGCGCCGTACATACTCATGGCAATGCTTGGATTATTATATGCAGTGCCTTGGATCAAACCTGTGTTGGTCAGGTGCAAAGCAAACTCCTTAACGCCTGTACTATCTCTCTAGTCCCTTCTACTACATTTTACAAAAATCTCAAACTACTTATTCATTATATCACAAGGCAAATGAAATCTAGCAGGTGGCTTGAAAGCTCTGCTATAGTCAGGTGACTCAAGGAGAGGATACTGTACGAGGGTACTGTCTCAAGCTCAACAGAATACAACATTAGCACTTTACCAGTGTACTGCCTATAATCATTCAGAGCCCATATCCATTTTTAATTTTTTGATAATAATAGTAAATAGAAAATACTTATAAAGTGTGCAGTGCTTAGCACATGTTTTCCTTTAAAAATATGTATGTTTTATTGTAAAATCTATATTGTATGAACTTTTTTATTTTAATTGTTTCAAACATATAGTTGGATGACATTGGGTACAGGTTGTGTAACTTTCAATGCCACGACATCCATTTCCATGTTTTCTTTCTTTTTTTCTAAACTGAAATTCTATGCCTGTTCAACAATAACTTGTTCTTCTTCCCTCTCCTCTGCCTCTGGTGCAAGAACTTCTTTAACTTTTGTGTCTATTAATTTCACTGTTCTTTTATTCCTTCTTAAGGCTATATAGTATCTGCTATATGAATATATCACATTTTGTTCATTCATTTACCCAGTAACAAGTTCTCTTCACCATATGTGATTTTTATATATGAACTAGTTAAATCTTCACAATAACTCAGTAATGTAGATATTTTTAGTATCTCCATTATATGGTAAGAAAAAAGCACAAAGGGGTTATAGCTAGAAAACTCTCTGTGTCCTATATTCCACATCAGGCTGAGTGCACCTACGGACTTGGCTTTTAATTGCCTTTTCTCCCACTATTCCTTTCAAATGATTTAGAAATCGAGTAAAATTTGTTCAGTTATGCTTAAACACTCACGTATCACCGCAGAACCAGGTTTTTGACTTATATTGTACAGGCAGCTTCATGTTTGCAGGGAATAGTCATTTAGCAATTGTCTCCAGTAATTGATGTATTTGTAGTCTCATTACTGCAAAGGAAATAGTTTTCTGGGGCAAGATGTTCTTGCTTTCTCAGGGTCCAGTCGTGTTTAATGATCACAGAATTGACTATAACCAGGTAAAGCATAAAAAAATAATTTAGAAGTGAAAACTGCCTTTGATAAATTTAACTATATGTGTTTGTGTGTGTATATATACATAATGCTTCTGTCTCTGACATAAAACATTATCTTCCACTGTCTCGGTAGGGACAACCAAAGATAAACTTTTCACACTGCCTAACATGAACATTTATAGTTTGTGTTTTCAACTCTAAATAGTTTTGGATGTTTAACTTCTGGCATATTTTTTGATGGACACGAGGACATACCACCTTAAGTGTCTGGATAGCACATTTAATTCACTTGTTAAAATCATTTGACCTGTTTGACACCAACCCTGTGTGATAACATTTAGGAATGAAGTCTTTGGGAAGCAATGATGTTTAGAGAGGTCGTAAGGGTCAGGATCTTAGAATGGATGGGATTGAATCCCAAGAAGGAAGAAGCACCCAACCCGACAGCTTTCTCCACGACTCAGTCCACACTCACAAAGTGGAAGCCATGTGAGTCCATAGGAAAAACACAACTATCTCCACCCCCCAAACGAGAGTGCTCACAAGTAGTCAACTGTGCTGGCATCCTGATCTCCAACTTTCAAAACAGAATTGGAGAAAATAAATTCCTGTTGTTTAAGTCACCCCTTCTTGGCATTTTGTTATGGCAGGATGTACTGAGTAATTCAGCTGTGTACATACATGTCTGAGGCCGTTACTGGTTTAATTCTGAAACTAGTCTTCAACTCACTTCAGTTCATCCCTGTGGAGACTGTAAGCAATACATGTAGTGGCAAAAAGTTACTTCCCCAGTTTATGGAGAGGAATTGTAGCATAGGGTGGTGGTCAGATGCTTGTTTAAGGACATGTAGTTAGTACAAATTGAGATTGTAGCCAAACCCAGGTAGTCTCTAGCTACAGAAGTTGTTTTATTATTAAATAGGGCACACATTTGATCTTTGGTTCTTCTCTGTAATAAATTGAAGCACAATAAAACCACGTTACTAAAATTATGTCATATAGCTATATTCATTAACAATTATGAAATGTAGGAATAATGTTAAAATATTAAGAAAATGTTACTTTTTGGGAAACAGGGCTTATATGCACAAGTCAAGCATCTCAGAGAAGAAATATCCCTTAGAGCTGAGATTCTTAATATTTTTAGCAGTCAAGACCGCTTTTCTCACTTTGTACATAATTCTGAGTATATAAGTATATAAATAAAATATTTATTGTTAACAAATCAGAAATTTTATTTATTTATTTATTTATTTATTTATTTTTGAGCCACACCTGACAATGCTCAAGGCTTACTTTTGACTCTGCAATAAGGAATCATTCTTGGCGGGGCTCAGGGTGCCATATGGGAGGTTAGAGATAAAACCTGGGTTGTCTGTGTGCAATGAAAATGCCCTACCTGCTGGACTATCTTTTCAGTTCCCAGACATTTATTTTAAAGAAAAAAGTTCTTCATACTCATATTTAATTACATAATTTTATATCCCATAGCTTAAGAAGCTAAACTTAAGTAGCAAAGAGAAGCTTTTCATAAAAAGATTGAGTAAACTCTTCAGTTAGAAAAGTTCCAGGCAAAATGGTGATGCAATGGATGTTTCTACTTTAACTAATATTTACTTTTTTTTTAACTTTAATGGGTTTTTTTTCCACTTTAATTTAAATCCCTACATTTAGAACTTTCTTTCATTTGCTCCAATAGTAGAATCCTGGGCCCCCTGTAATTAAGGTCCGGAGTTCTTTTATTCAAAGATACTTGTCTCTCAACAAATATATACTATTACATTGTATTTTAATTTATCATTTTCAGGAAGGAAACTGAGACTCAGACTACAAATTCATCTTGCCAAGACCACCATATGCAGATATATAGTGCATGCATGTTTCAAAGCACATTTTTCAGAAGAGAAACTGACCATTGTTTTTTTCTCACAGAGCTCCAGGACAGCACGCTCTGAGGAGGAGCGGGATGGCCTATGGGATGCATGGGGCCCATGGAGTGAATGCTCGAGGACCTGTGGAGGTGGCGCTTCCTACTCACTGAGACGCTGCCTCAGTAGCAAGTAAGTCCTGCTGCCCAGGAAGTGGGGATTTGGAGGTGTTGTTTGAAACATGAACCTCTCAGAGCATTTTATTACTCAGGAATCTACACACAGGAATGGAAGGGCGTTATAAAGACTTACATTTGTCTGCTATTTAATACCTGTCTTCAGCTAGCTATTTATATAATCTGATGTGATAGATAATATGGAACAATCACATCTAAAGTCTATTTTCATGTTTTAACTGGAAGAAGATTCACTATTAGCAATGAATCTAGTTTCTTTAAATCTGTAATTTATTCTACTTTTTACAGAGCCTGGCAAGCTACCGAGAGAGTATTATGCCCGTTGGGCAAAGCCTGGCAAGTTACCGGTGATGTATTCATTATGACAAAAATAGTTAACAACAAGTCTCACAATGGAGACATTACTGGTGCTTGATGGAGCAAATCCATGAACAACAGTGCTACAATGCAGTGCTACTTTTGACAGCACCCTAACAGGGTGAAAATAACTGTGAGAGTATTAATATTAATAGCATATTAAGTTTACATTGTTTTCCAATGTTACAAATATTTTGCAAATAAATTACATATTGGTTTAGTTTTCCAGTTATTGTCCTGGCCAGAACTTTACTAAGATCTCCCTTAAATGAATAATCTATTTTGAACATAAGGACATTTGTGTTGCCATTGTTATTTGGGGGCAGAGATCAGCACTCGGGGATCTCTCCTGGCTGGGAACCATAATGGGTGCCAGAGACTGAATCCAGAGCAGCTGTGTGTAAGGCAAGTGCCTTACCCACTGTACAATATTCCAGCCACCAAATACAGGGAGATTTGAAAGAATAGAAACTGCACTAGAAATTGTGCAAGAGTGAGAGACACTGAAAATACCACCGAGAGTGGTTCATAAATTCAAAGCTGTTAGAATGGAAAGTGGGCTGGAGTGATAGCACAGCCGTAGGGCATTTGCCTTGCATGCAGCCAACATGTCGACCGGAGTTCGATTCCTCCACCCCTCTCGGAGAGCCCGGCAAGCTACCAAGAGTATCTTGCCCGCTTGCAAAGCCTGGGAAGCTCCCCATGACGTATTCTATATGCCAAATACAGTAACAACAAAGTCTCACAATGGAGACGTTACTGGGCCCACTTGAGCAAATCGATGAGCAACAGGAGGACAGTGACCGTGAGAATGGAAAGTCTTTCCCTATATAATAATTAATCCAAAACACCTTCTTGAATTGTGTGGTCTATGACTGGATTTTTCTCCAGATAATAAAGTATAAAATGCCATGGCAATATTTTTAATGAAATATTTTATTTGACTATGAAAATTGCTGCTATGTTCCTAGTAAGAGGTTTGATCACAATGACTCTATGAAACATAAAGCAGAAAAAGAAAATATGCTGATTTTTGTAGATTTCATAAAGAAAGAGGTGGGATATATATTTAGAAGAACATCAGCTTATTTTAATAAGAATAAGAATTTCCTTTTCTTGTATATATGTGTACTCCCCCTCTGCTTTTGGTTTTCATTTTTGTTTTAGGATGGCAGGGGAAGTACTCAGGGAGACCAGGGTCACATCTGGGAGTGAGAATCTCTTGAATTCAGGATCTGTGTCTTAGTCTTTTCAGAAGCTCAGTAAATATTGCTTATTTCTCAGTAAATATTGCTTCTTTCTGAAGCTTATTTCTTTGGAGCTCAGTAGTAGCTTTACAGAAACAATAATAACTGGGTAGTGAAGAGGTTCCACTGGAAACCATGCCTCCTAGAAAATAGGACCTTAGAATGTATATATTGCAAGTAGACTTATCCTGCTATTTTACCGTTTTGATATTTGGATCTGCAACAGAGATGGATCTACGGGATTGCATTTAATAGTAATTATTTTTGTCTTTGGAGACTAGCTCACATTACATCTCTGAGAAAATAAAAAAGAATAAACCTTTTGCCCTGTCATTCCCCCTTCTCTTAAGTTCACTGGAAAGTATTTTAAGGAACATGTTAATATCACAAGTAAAATTCTGTCATTTTGCTATCACCAGAGATTTTTTAGTTGTTTATAATTTTTTGAAATATTTATGAGAGACCATAGTTTACAATGTTGTTCATAATAAGCAGAGGGGGATGGGGTGACGAATGGTGACATTTAAAGCACTTAACAGTATCATAACCATGTTATGAAAATTATAGTAAAACATTTTTCAAAACAAAACAAAGAACCATAATATTGGGAAAACTGTATACCTAGATTTTATGGAAAAATATGAGAATTCTTCAACTTGTGGGATTAATTATGAATTGGAAATTACAATGAGACTTGGTTAATCTTCTGAGTAGAGAAAATATCTAGAGATTGTTTCATATTATAAGAAAAATCTGAAACTCAAAGAAATTTTAAAGTGTATGTAAGTGTTATATATAAAATCTTTAAATCCAATGTAGCAGTACTTGATACTGAATGAAAATGCATTGAATCGGGGGATACTAGGAAGACCCTTTCTTTATTCTTCCATGTCCTTTCTCTAAGGTTCACAGAAAGTGAGCAACTTAATTTTCTCAATTTCTGATATTACAGCATTGATAATTTCCTTAACCTGTAAAAAAAGAAATTGCATAACGTTTTCTCTAACATTGACTAATTTCTATAAAATTATTTGTCTTTTGTCAAGTAAATCTGATGACAATAATAATAATAATAGTAATGACAGTTAATCTTTTCTCACCAGGTGGTATATAGTATCTGGTTTTATCTATTTTATTAGAATAGAGATCACTTACTAGTACTTTAATGATGTCAATTTAGTTTAGTACCAGATAGCCTGAGAAACTGTTATTTCTTTACCTTCTGTTACTCTGAAGAAATATTTTTAGCAAAATAATTTGTCTGATTGAATTACTGTTGTGTGATACTTAGTTAACTTCCCTTCTTTAACTTAGATAATTAAGTTTATATACACACACACACGTATGTATGCATATATATAGAGAGAGAATATACTTACATCACATATGTATAAATATATATTTGTATTTATGTCTCTGACAGCTCTATTTTTTAAAAATTTTTATTAGTGAGATACCATGAGCTACAGTTGTAGACTTACAAATATTTTTGCTTGGATTTCAATTATATAATGATGAAATACCCATCCCTCCACCAGTGCCCATTTCTCACCACCACGGATCCCAGTATCCCTCCCATCCCCCATCCCCCCATCCCACTTGCCACTGTGGCAGGGTACTACCTTTTGTTCTCTCTCTCCTATTGGGTGTTGTGGTTTGCTAAAGAGGCAATGGGTGGCAATCATGTTTGGTCTATAGTCTACTTTCAGCATGCTTCTCCCATCCTGGCAGAATTCTCCCAACACCCTTTATTTGGTGCTCCCTTTTCTATCTGAGCTCCCTTTTCCCCTAGCATGTGTGGCTGGCCACCAAGCCATGGAGTAAAAATTTCTGGTATTAATCTCGGCCATTCTTGGGTGTTAGTCTCCAATTTTGTTACTTTATGTTCCCCAGATGAATGCAATCTTTCTATGTCTATCCCTTTCTTTCTGAGTCATTTCGCTTAACATGATACTGTCCATGTAGTACCACTTGTATGTAAATTTCATGACTTCATCTTTTCTAACAGCTACATAGTACTCCATTGTGTAAATGTACCAAAGTTTCTTTAACCAGTCATCTGTTCTCGGGCACTCAGGTTTTTTCTATATTCTGGCTATTGTAAAGAGTGCCGCTATGAACAAACAAGTGCAGATGTCACTTTGACTATATTTTTTTGCCTCTTTGGGATATATTCCCAGGAGTGGTATTGCTGGGTCAAATGGGAGCTCAATTTCCAATTTTTTGAGAATTGTCCATACTGTTATCCAAAAGGGCTGAACCAGTTGGCATTCCCACCAGCAGTGAAGGAGGGTCCCTTTATCGCTATATTCACGCCAGCACTGGTTGCTTTTGTTCTTGTGGATGTGGGGAGATGTCAGTATATTCAACCCTGTTCTATTGGTCTCCATCTCTGCCTTTGTTCCAGTACCATGCTGTTTTAATTATTACTGCTTTGTAGTAGAGTTTGAAGTTAGGGAGGTTGATTCCTCCCATTTTCTTTTTCCCAAGAATTGCTTTAGCTATTCGTGGGGCTTATTGTTCCATATATATTTCAGGAGTGTTCGTTCCATTTCTTTGAAGAATGTCATGGGTATTCTTATAGGGATCGCATTGAATTTGTACAGTGCTTTGGGAAGTATTGCCATTTTGACAATGTTAATTCTCCCTATCCACGAACAGGGGATATTTTTCCATTTCCTCGTGTCCTCTTTTATCTCCTGAAGCAGAATATTGTAGTTTTCTTTGTACAGGTCCTTTACTCCCTTAGTTCAGCTGATTCCTGGGTACTTGATTTTCTGGGACACAGTTGTGAACAGAATTGTTCTCTTCATGTCACTTTCTTCTCTTTCACTATTTGCATATAGGAAAGCCTGCAACTTTACTATACAAGTCTATTGTTTCTAGGAGTTTCTTGGTAGAGGTTTTAGGGTTCTCTCAGTATCATATCATCTGCGAATAGTGAGAGCTTGATTTCTTCCTCTCCCTACCTGGATGCCCTTAATATCTTTTTCTTGTCTAATCGCAATTGCAAGTACTTCTAGTACTATATTGAACAGCAGTGGAGAGAGTGGACATCCTTGTCTCGTCCCTTAGAGGGAAGGCTCTCAGTTTTTCCACAATGAGGATGATGCTTGATTTAGGCTTGTGGTAGATGGCTTTAACTATATTGAGGAAAGTCCCCTCTATCGCCATTTTGGCAAGGGTTTTTATCATAAATGGGTGCTGTATCTTGCCACATGCTTTCTCTGCATCTATTGATATGATCATATGACTTTTATCTTTTCCTATGTTGATATGATGGATTATGTTGATTGATTTCTGAGTGTTAAACCATCCTTAGATACCCTTACATCCCCATCCTTACATCCCCCAAGTAGGGATGAATCCTACTTGGTCATGGTGTATGATC